GGTCCAGGAAGTAGGGATCTGCATTTAATAAGGCCGCTGCTTGCTGCCTGCGTGTTAGCCTTGGCTAGGGGGCAGGGGACATAGCAGGCTAATCGCCGCTGCCACAGTCAACTTCTGAATCCTGCTTTCCTTGGCCAGGACCCAGGATCACATCTACACTGTGCAAGAGCAAGTCAGGCTGAGTGAGGCCGGACGGGGCAGGGCTCGGTGGGGAGCCAGGGCTGATCCAGGAGCACCGCAGAGCAACAGGTTAGGTTCTCCCAGCACTGCGAGGCGCAGCCATTGCAAGGCCCATTTTGGAGATGGAGAGAATGAGGCACAAGGTGACCAAATGGCTTGAGGCCCCCCAAAAGCTGTCCTGGCTATGAATGGACGATGAGGACAGGGCCCCCAGTAAGTCTGGCCAGGCAGGTGCTCCCTGGACTCTTTCCAGCCTGGAGCTCACTGCCACGGCCTCACCTGAGACAGCCCCCAGCTCCTAACCTGACTGAAACCAAAGGCAGGGGGACGAGTGGTGGGGGACAGCCTGCTCTCCAGAAGATGGAAGGTCACATCTGCTTCCTTCCCTGGTCACCCCCAAGCCCAAGCCTGTGACCACGTGCCCTGGAGGTTCTGCCCCATCCGGTAGGGCACGTCCATCCCTCCCTGCGCAGCAGCTCGCTGGGACGAGGAGCAGGAGGGCTTCCTGGAGGAAGAGGCTCTCAAGTGGAGCACCAAAGAATGATGCAGAAAGAGGAGTAGGATGGACATCGGGAGAGAGGGAGCCACGTGTGCCCGGTTAGGAAGCCAGGGAAAAGCCAGGTGGACATGTGGCAGTAAGGGCCATGTCACCGCCGCTAGTCACACTCCTGCCTCACCTGAGTGGCTGTGCTTCATGGACAATCACACTGTGTAGTTATCAAGTGCTTTATCACAACTGAAACCCTGAGCTCCTGAGAGGAAGGACCTGACCTTCACCCACTGGGTCCTTCTGGGTCACTGTCACTGCTGGCTTCACCAGTCCTACATTCTGGGGTTCAAGAGTCCTATGAGCTCACCACCTCATCCACCCAGCACCCAGCTTCCAGCTCCCAGCTCCCAGTTCCCAGCTCCCAGCACCCAGCACCCAGCACCCAGCACCCAGCACCCAGCACCCAGCACAGGGCCAAATGCAGAGAAGCAAGGTGGGAAACACTGGTGACTGAGCCCAAGCTGCCCAGAGCAGATGGTCAGCTGCTGAACAAACACAGCGAACACAGGCATGTGCGGATCTATGCACAGGCACACAGATACACATACATGAACTCACACACGCACACCCATACACGCATACACACAGCAGACAAACAAATGAACACACAAATTGATTCATGCAGACACATGAAGTTCTCACATTCATGGAGCCAAACCCTAGAGCCCCAGCTAAGGCTGGGTGGCTGCAGCCTCCTCCTGACCAGCCTGTCAAAGCCTCTCTCCCAATCTGGCAGGCCGGCTCCCACCAGTCAGCAGGAACAGCGGGCCACCCCCCTCTGTCCTCTGCCCTGAGCCCTGCCCGCAGCAGATTCTCAGCCTCTCCCGGAGGTCAGCTGGCCCGGCTCAGCCCTCCTCTCTCGGGGGGGTGTCTGTGCAGGAGCCTTCGATGGGAATGGCCGGCATTCCATTCTCCCAGAGTGGGATGTGAGGCTGGCTCGTTTTTTATTAATTGCAAATTAATGCTCTGCTGGGTGCTATTTCTGTACATGCCTCTTCCGCCCGCAGGACTGCGGCCCAAGCAGCGCATTACTCTCATTCTTTCTGCCGACCAGAAGGGCGAATATTTTTAGATGCCACGCCCTCTCGCAGTGGCCAGATTAAGTGGTTTCCAGATGTGCACACTGCGAATCCACATGAGGCAGAGAAGGAAGGAGCCAGGAGCCTGGCCACCGCTCGCTCCCTGACAGGAGTGTCAGGGACCAGCTTAGCCGGGCAGCACCTGAGCGCCCAGCACCTGAGCACCTGCTGTGCAGCTCGAGGGGACCTGCCGCTCGCCCACAGCCGCTCAACTGTGGCTCCTCCAGGCCCCTGGTGCCCAGGCCCAGGCAGGGATGGCCTGGGCCCTCGTGAACACAGAGACCAGCTGTGGCCGTGTAGCGGCTGCCTTCATCAGCAAGTGTCCTTTCTAAACATGCCCCAGTGAGAAGCCAATCGGAAGAGCTGAGTGGACACAGCCGTAAAACAAATCAACAGCAGCTGAAACACATTTTGCAGAGCCTCGGAAGTGGGTGGGGATGATGAAAGGAGAATCTGCCTGAAGTCCAAATTGCGAGCTCTGGCCCTGGCATGGGCATCCTTCTCTGCACAGCAAGCAGCTCTCCAGGATCCGCCGCGGGCCACGTGCACATGCTCCGCCATGCACACGCAGGGAAATGGACACGATTCTGCTGGTTCCCTCTGGGGCCCCGAGCACATGGCTTCAACTTTCTGGGTTCAGCCACTGAAATGAGGGCCTGGGAAATGATCATCAAAGTTCTTTCAAGCTGCATGATCCTCCAGTCTTAGGCAGTTTCCTCGAACAAACACACGAAGTATAAGTGACTTCAAAAATAGGACTTGATTGCTGTTCAGAACATGTGTGTGTTTGTGACACATCTGCACAACTTCCTAAGGGAAAGGCATGGCTGTGCCCAACTCTTAACTTTACAATCTCCTCAGTGCACGCTCTGCCCGCGTGCGGTGCAGGGTCCCAGGCCAGAGGACCTCAGGGTCCCTGCCAGGGGTGTGGCCCACGCAAATGAGCCGCTCTCCAGGCCCTGCCCATCACTCTTGAGGATTCTATCCACTCTTCTCCTCCACTGGGGAACTGCATGACTCAGCAGGAAGCTATGCGCCTTATCACTTCTGGGACTACATCATGGGACCTCGAGGTCACCCGGCACGGCATGACAGAACCTAATCCCCAGGCTGATCTCACATTCCAGGCCTTGTAAAGCCTGCATTTAGTTCTGAGCGCTCTGGGGCAGGTGGCAGGCAGAATCTAGAGAGAAAGTCACCGAGGTCAATGCATGACACAAACCCTTAGACGACCAGGACCCAGTTCTCCAAGCAGGGCCTGACTGCCGCTCCCCACGACCCAGGGCAGCCGGCTTCCAGCTGGCTTCTGCTCCATGGTGGGCCACACACCAGGCTCCTGGGGTAAGAATGGCTGCCCAGGCCCGAGCACAGGTATGCAGTACTACTTAGAAAGAAAATAATAAATAAAAAACCCCAGAGACAAAAACTGGCACCACTAAATAACAGGTCACATAACTAAAGCTGAAGCCAGTGAACAGCTTACCCAATTCTGCAATCAGTAAGAGGCCGCGTGGCAACGAGGTTCCAGGCGGAACAGCTCCAAAGCCACAAGCCTCACCCTGACCCATCGGCACAGTGCTCAGCGGTTTATAAAGCTGAACATACAGGACCTCTCTCGACCCCAAAGCAAGCCGAGGGGCTGTGAAACTGAGGAAACATGCTTACATGGCTTTCCCGACGTCAAGCAGCTGGTAAACCACAGAGCCCAGAACTGCCTCCCTCCTTCTGGAACCATCTACCCTCTCAGCCAGCAAAGAAGGACCCTGAGACTTCGCTTCTGGTCCCCAAGCAGCATTGCTCTGACCCACAATCTCCTCCTTACACCGCTAGCTATGAAGAAATGTGTGACTCCAGCCATCGCCTCTATGGGGACCAGGGGTCACCACAGCATGGCTAATGGGGGCCCTGCAGAGGACACAAGGGCCTGAGTTGGCTGCTGCCATGATCCACAGCCAGAATGCAAAGGGCACAGGGACTCCATCCTTCCAAGCCAGGCAGGGTCGAGCACTACCCGTCCACGAGCAGCAGCAACAAGAGCCACGAGGAAGGTGCGCCACCGTTGTTCCCAGGGTTTGAACAGGGACAGCCAGGCCATTCACATCACAAGAGGCTGGGCAGGCAGAGGCTTCCTGCTGGTGCTGGGAGGATGAGGCCTGTCTCATCCCAAGCCCACGCAGGGAGCCGAGTTTATTTTGAAACCGTATTTGCTTATTTTGCAGACATGATCCAAAGGATGTCGGAGTGTCCCCAGGAGGCAGCTGGGCCCTGCCAGCCAGGACAGCTTCCTCCAGCTCCAGCAGCCAGCAGTAACACTTGCAGCAGAAGTGACCCCCATCCGCACTGCTCCCCAACACCAAAGAGCCCACCTCCGCCAGGCACCCAGGCCGGCGCTGCATTTAGGACTGAGAGGAGGAAGGAACATTGGAGACTAGAGGCAGGGAAGACAGCACATTGGCCAAAGAGCCCAAACTCCAGCCTCATCTGGAAGCTGGGCATGGCAGCAACACCTGTCACCCCCGCAATCTAGGGGGCTGAGGCAGGAGGATCGCAAATTTGAGCTCAGCCTGGGCAACTCAGTGACTTAGCACAACCCTCTTTCAAAATTAAAAAAAAAAATGTTTTAAAGGGCTGGGGATGTAGCTCTGTGCAAAAGCCCTAGGTTCAGTCTCCAGGACAACAGAAACAAATGATCAAACAACACACAGATAAAATCTGGGGTCCTGCTAGCAAATCCAATACCATGATTAAGCCTGCAGCTCTGGGGTTCAAATTTCAAGCTCCGCTCCCCACCCTGTGTTGTCCCGGATGAGTTATTACGCTCTCCGGTGCCTCTGTTTCCCAGACATGACACCGATGTCACTCGCGGGGAAATCAAAACAGGTTGTGAAATTCGCGAGATGGTGTAAAGACCTTCCCAGGTGATTTTGGACCATGAGCTTCTGGGCGTGGGCTGCATCTCCGTCTCCTCTCTCCCAGCAGAGGGAGAGGATCTGGTATGCAGCAGGAGCTCGTGCTTGCTGGGTTGTATTCAAATTGAACTGAGGACTCCTGCAGGAACCCCTCCGAAAGTTGCCAGCCAGCAAGAAGAGGCTGCCTCTCCCAGCTGTGCCGGCCGCAGCCTCAGCCACCACAGTCCCAGCCCTCGCCACAGCACCCTGGTTCTGCCCGGCAACCGAGAGGCAGGAGCTCACCTTAATGTTGCAGTTGTCATCGAGCAGGATATTCTCCAGCTTTAAGTCTCGGTGGACCACGCCATTCTGGAAGGAAAGGACAAGGAGGGGTCTGAGCAGACAAGGGGCAGGAACAGAGGGGAGGAGGAGGAAAGGGGGAGGGGGAGGAGGAGGAAGAGGAGGAAGAGGAGCAGGAGGCCGTGCAGCCAGGATGTCCAGCGGAGGAGAGCACTGCACCAGCCTGGCGATCCCACCTCTACCCTGTGGCTGCCCTCGCTGTCATGAGCTCCCCAGCCCGCAGCCAGTGACAGAACAGCATTAGTCACTTGCTTACAGAAAAGCAGCTGGAACCCATTCTCCCCCAGAGCCTGGGGATGGCATCCCCCTGCTGGGAGTCCCCAGCAGAAGGCAACTCTGCTGTCTGAGCCACATCACCCGAGGCTGGTAGACTAGGTCTGTCTGCGAGGGACCCCTGCCTGCCCATCTGTCTGTCTGTCCACATCCTCCATGCCCACTGCACTCTGCTTCTCAAAATCACCCCACGCCCCGCTCAGCAAGTGACTAGAAGGTGACACAGACCCATGGGCTGATGACACAGGAGGTGGCCTCATGTGTGACATGGACTCTGTCTGGCAGGTGCAGGCCAGGCTGGTAGCTGAGCCCTGGGGCAGGCAGCCGGGCCAGAGTGCGGAGGAGCCATGCCCCCCACCCCCTAGGCCGACCAGGGGCTTCACTGAACACAACTTACACAGCTCCTTTCCAAGACCCGATTACATCACTAGGGCAGGAAGAGCAGTGCCCAGAACTGACCACTCGGGGCTGCACGGGGAAGCGACAGGGACCAGGCAGAAAGCTCATCCACCTTCGGAGCCACTCCCAAGCACACTGACAGGTCCTGCTACTCTCCTAATCAGAGCCCTCGGGAGGTGCTTCCCATTCAGAAAGCGACGCTCACACTGAGGCCAATGTCCGCGAATTTCCAATAATGAAAATATGCTCTGGGGGCTTTCCTGTGACACCTGAGAACACAAGGCTGTCCCCAGAGAGAGAAAGAGGTCAGACACGGCTAGTGGGTGGAGCTGGGGACTCAAATCTGGGGGCTTTCTCCTCCCTCCTTTGTATCTCTGTATCATGAACAGACAGTACTGTGCTACCATGGCAAGCAGCAAGTAGAATCGCAAGGACCTCGCCGACAAGCCTCAGGCCAAGGTACCTTGTGGCAGTAGTGCACGGCGGAGACGATCTGCCGGAAGAAATGCCTGGTCTCCCTCTCGCTGAGGCGCCTCCTCTCGCTGATGTAGTCGTACAGCTCGCCTTTGCTGGCGTACTCCATGATGATCACGATTTTATCCGTGTTCTCGAACACTGGGGGGGAAGCAACACACAACCGATTGATCCAGCGAGCTCAGGTGTGGTGGCAGAAAGACAGAGAGGGCGAGTGACAGAGAAAGACAGAGATGACAACGGCATGGCGCTGAGCAGAGCAGATGGGCAGGGCAGCCAGCAGCGACCGCAGATCATGCCCCATGCCAGGAAGACCTGGGTGAGTGCCCAGCCAGGGTGACAGTGGCTGCCTCGCTGTGCTTCCTGGACCTTCTTGGGTGGTGCTGCAGGAAGGTACCCAAGATCCTTGCTCGCAACCCCAGCCACCAGACGCCTGCTCCCACAGACACCACAGGGGGTACTGAACACCACCTCCACATAGCAGCCACACAACACAGGCCAGGCACCTGGATCCCAGACCCAACTCGGACACCAAGACGGTGGCCAAGTCCTGTCACTCCTTTGTGCAGAGCCATCCTGACTTGCCACGTCACTCTGCGCAGGCCACCAAGCCCTACACTGTCCCCTGGTCCCTTCTTAGCCTTCCCAGAATGTGAGCTGTAGATCCTGTCTCCCCATCAGAAGGAAGTGGAGGTGGGCCCAATTGCAAAAACAGCTACACAGACCAGCCACCAGGACGGTGTCAGGTGTATGGAAGGGGCTCAGTTATTCTGTAGTAGATGAGTGAATTCTAGGTGCCTAAGAGCATTTTGGACAGTAAATAAGCACACAGCACCTGCCACACACCGGGCTCATGGAAGCCTCTGAGACCCT